AACTTTGTATAACATGTATACAAGAATCTTAATAAAGGTGATCGGCAAGGCTGCCTAAGAGGAAAAAAAAAAAAAAATAAAATAAAAAAATAAAATACTTATTTTAAATATATTTTCTTTTATAAAACAAACTTTAATAACTATCAAGCCTTTTAATAAAATATACTAAACATATGTTGTACCTATTTACTAATACAAACAATAACATATTTACTAAACTACAACTACTCAATATTTCAATACTTAATAAACTCATGCTACAAGTTAGCAATAGTAATATAAAAAAATGCTTTAACACTAATATACTCTTGAATCAAATCTCTATACATTGGATCAAAAATTGATTTCTTAAAATATAAAAACCATCACTAACTCAGAATACAATTCTAACAAATCATAGAAAATCTACTAACTTTACTATAATATTTCAACTCTATTATCTATATAAAAATAATATTTTTATTAATAATACTCATTTAAATCTATTAATAACCTACAAACTAAAGGTTGAAACTGATTTTAATAATTTAGGTTTATTATATGAGTTTTGTAATATTTTAGAATTTATTAAAATTTAATTGAATAAAATTTTAAAATATCTCAAAATTTACAGAATAAACTCAAATTATTAAAACTAGTTCTAACCTTTATTACAAACAAACCAATCAACTGAACAATATTTATAACTTTATTCTATCTCCTAACAACTCAACAACTCTAAGTCTTAAAAATAATAAAATTCTTTTTTTAAAACAATTACTTATAGCTAATAATTATAACTTATTTTCTTGAAAAAACATATATTTTAGAACTTATAAATCTTTACAAGACCTTATTCTAAAATAGTTTAAAATACTTTCAAACTAAATATTCTATTATTTTTTATTTACATATAGTCCAATCTTTAACTTCAATCTATTAATCTATTTCTAAATATATTAAATCTTATTATATTCTAATTTATTACTTTGAAAAACATATGTTTACTCTATATTTTATCTTTAGATTTGCATATCAGCAAAATAATTAATACATCTAACTCTTAAGCACTTTTTTAAAAATATTAAATTATCAACTCAACAACTAACATAATTTATATTTTTTCTATATTTATAATATTTTAAATAAATTACAAACAAACTATTAATCCAAAATGCAAAACACAAAAAAAAATAATACTTTAAACTCAATATAAACAATTAAAAAATCCAAGCTCTTTAAAACATTCATATAAACTTGCTCTAAAATCTTTACAATCTCTTTTATTATCTTTTTTAATAATTCTTTTGATACAAAACATAATATCTAACCCTATATATCAAAACCAACTTATAAACATTTACAAAAAATTACTATCTCTTAATTTAACTAACTTATACCTTTATATAGATGCCTTTATTTTAAATTCACAAACACATAACATCTCTATTAGCATTATTTAAATTCTGAAAAATAATACACAGATTAAATTTAATATCTTTATAACTTATGCTTTTGCTTCTGTTTTTTGATAATTATCTTTTTAATTATTATAGTTTTTTTAATTATTGTTATTATGATTATTATTATTGCTTTTTCTTTTTCTAAAGTTTTATTTCTTTAGTTAGCATTATATCCTTTTTTACAATTTGCAATAAAATATTCAAGATTATTATAATAATAATAAAGAGTTCTGTTTTGAATAAAATTAGTTTTAAAGTTAGAACTATTTTTTTTTTTGCAGTATAGGCTGTTTGAGGTTGTGCAGATTGTTAAGGCTGTTGTGTTTGCTAAAATAAAGTCATAACTAAGTTAATGTATAGTTTGACTAGTTGTTTAATAATACAGTAGTTTAATATATTATTGTAAACACTTTTTAAAAATTTATAACAAACTAATTAAAAAAGATATTAGACTAAAAATTATATAATAAACTTATTAAATCTAAAGCTTTTAAATAAAAAAAAATTATAAAATTCTATGTAGTATTTTTTAAGATAATTAAGGTTATACAAAATTGTATAACATTACATAGAATTGGAATTGGCAATTTTTAATATATTTTTTATTAATAATAAATATTTAAAATTAAAATATTAAAAATTTTATTAATTAAATTTAACTAATTTTTTTTGTTAAATTTATATAATAATACAATTTTAATATTAATAAAATTATTTATTTTAATTAATAAGATTTAAAAAAATATTAAATATAAATTTATCTAATTTAATCTAATTTAAACTAATATTTTTAAAAAGAATATTTCTAATTATAACCCATGGTGATGATCACCATGGTCATGTGATAGTCTTTTTTGTAAATATTAGCACTACATATAATAAACTAATATAAAATTTTAAAATTTATATATGCTAAAATTAACTTCCCTTAGGGTTATAAAATTTCCGATTATATAATAAAAATATTCAAACAAATCTTTTGTTAGTACACAAAAGGTCATTGCTTATGCAAATTTTTGAAAAATGAGATTTTGATAAAACAAATAAAATATTACACATAATTATAGCTTTATTGTATTCTATCAGCTACGCACAATTAGACTATATTATACATGACACTTATATAATCATTACAGCTTGTGTTGCTTCACTTGTGCTCAGCAATACATATAGAACTCGCTTCGCTCATTCTGTAGTTGCTTCGCTACAGCTGTCACCTCCGCTTCGCTCCCTTTCCTAAATGCTCTATAATTCTGCATTTATACCTAATTATATAGTGCTTATTGAAAGTTGCATTAAAGATGTTTCTAAATGATTTCGCAGTGAATACTTTCAAGACATCATTTCCGGGCAATTATTTTGCCAGCCTTATTTCACAGTCCCATTTGTCTATTCGTAGTTATTTTGCAAACTTCATTTCATAGACAAACGATTCATGTTTCACCTACAACCTCTATAACACTCTAAATGACAAACCTACTCAAAGAAAAAAAACTATATAAAACATGTTGAAAAAAAAGCCAATAACGAAAATTGCAAGAAAATGAAATAAAACACAGATTACTTTCCTGGTAAATTCAATCTATAAATTCAAAATCTAAGAGCCGTTTAATAATGAAAATCAGAAACCATTGCCTGAAAAAAGAATAAATTATATTAGTGCAGCGAACAAATCAACATAATAAAATAAAACTAAATAAAAAAAGAAAGCACAAAAGAAGCAAAACATTCATGATTATATGCAGAATAAGAAATATGTATGTACATACATTTTTATCAGTTTGTAGATTACAACTTTTTAAAAAAGAACATAATACCATTAAATCGGCTAGCATTAATTAATGCATACTAACTTTTCAGCATTATGCCTTTCAAGAAAATGACCTTGAATGCTTAATTATACTGTTTATCTAATATTGCCATTAGCCTCATGCTATTAATGAAAAAAAAATACTAAATATAAAAAAAAGCAAATAAAAAAAGACAAGTTTTTAATACTTATCTGGCATCTATAGCATTGTGCTGCTTCGCATTTATAATTCACTATTACCTAGGAATAAAACTTATTAGATACTGCAATTCAAGCAGTGAATAATCAAAATCATGAATAATAACACCCTGGCATTACTAACCTAAAAAATTTCGCTATCTCAAACTTTACAAACTCTAAACGCTAATAGCGAAATTTTTTAGGCTAGTGATGCCTAATAATCATGATATTGATAGCTTGTCACACGTTTTCAAAGTTAGATTTAAACAATATAAATAATTCCTAGTGCTAGTTCAGAATTATACATCGTAATTTAAAATACAGCATTACTATAAATTACATTCTATCATTCTCTTGCTACTTACATGTGCGTGCATTATGTCCTACCTTACCACATACATTACATACATATTTTCTTTTGCTCTCTTCTATAGCATGACTATTATTTGAACTAATATTTGATAAAGGTATCCTTAAATTAGGATCCGGAGGGTTAATTGCATGATTACTATGTGCTTGTCCTTTATAACCTTGAGCTTCAGAAGAACTTTTTAATCTTTTTGTTGGTGGTCGCCCACGACATTTTGTAACTAAAGGGTCATTCACAACTATATGCTCAAGATGATTGAGTTAAGTACTTTCATTATCAATACCTTCAAGCAAAGACTTTTTTTGATCAACAAACTGAGTAATCATGCTAATTAATTCTTCCTCACACCCAAGGTTCAAAACAAAGTTAAGTGCTTTTTTCATTTTGCCAAATCCGTTAGCATATTTGATCTTTTTGCTCGCTAATTGTTGGTTTTTTTTGTTATATGTAGAACCTCGAATTTGTTCAATAATGTGAAGATCTGGATAGATCATGTTTGTGTTGTTTTGTTGAAATGTCATCGAAATATTAATGTTTTGATGTTGTAAAACCTCCAAACCTTTATCTTGTTGATCATCCCGATACCAACGTCTAGCTACCAACTCGATATGAAACATTGCCGTTTTGGTATTCATCATCACCTAAAAAAAGTGAGGACATATAATGCCGTGGTTGAAAATAGCCATGCAAGTGCATAAATGTCCACCATTACTCAATAACACTACATAATGTTTGTAAACTGCTGTTAAACCTATAACCTCCCATATTTCAACAACTTCACTTGAATCAATATCCTTTATTAAAGCCATAATGGAAATTTGTGGCCGATCAAGTTCATCTTCTAAGAAACCATTATCATAATCCAATTGTGTATTTTCCTAACAAAAGAAAATTTTAAAGTTTAATATCTTAAATGATTAATAGAGCTATAGGCATGAAGGTGTAATACTAAAACATAAAGCGACAATATAAAAATGTAAGTAAATGCTATATTAAATAATTATTAATACAAATTCCCACCAAACCCTAATAAAAAAAAAGTAATTAATCTGTAATACTTGAATATCATCCTTTTGTCGTAACTGCACTTTATATAAAAGAGATCCTATGACTTGTTGTTGTTGCACAGCTAAAATATGAGGTGTTATATATAACTTTAATATCTCAACAACTTTCTGAAATACAGATTCGACGATTGATGGTGCTTGATTAGTAGGAACTGAATTCAGGTAGCTATTATGTCTTGCCCACTTAGCCTCATTATCCAAGAGATTTTGAATGTGGTCATAAAGATTACGCAATGAAGAAGTACCTTTTACACCTTCTTTAAGTAATTTATTCATCACTTCGATGCGCTGAGTACTTTGAACTCCAGCTGTAAAGAACTTTAATTGATAAAACCGAGCCCATGATTTAACACACCCCTGTAATGTCCTGTTAAAATAATCTTGTGTCTGTGGATATTTTTCTAACAAACATGACCATCGCCTATAAAAGTCATTTTCAAATGTGCTATTTCATGCATGTAAAAACTCTTTATAAAATTCATTGAATTGTTTTCCAAGTTTACTTCGCAAATTTTTACGAATGTTCTCCTGTATATGAAAAATGCAGAAAAAATGGTGTGTGATAGGTAATTTAAAGGAAATTGTACTACTTAACACAAGGTCAGCATCAAAAAATAAAACTACTGATGGTATGTTATGTGTTGCTTTCATAAGACATTCAAGGAACCATTTATAAGATTCGATAGTTTCATCTTCAGATAATGCTTGAGCAACTAACCGGGTCCTGGTATTATTGTCAATTACTACTAAAAGTGTGAGATACATGTTAAACCAATTTGTTTGACATGTATTGTCTGTTTGAACAATGTCATTATAACGGATTAGAATTTGTTGTTGTGTTGGAGACATCCAAAATAATCCTGTTAACCTATTATCATATGGGTCCATATGAATATTAACAATCCAACCTGGATCCTGGTTCTTTAGCTGCAACAGATGTTTAATGAAACTTTGTGCTTCCATATGCCGTTGAGTAGGTGTTGTTCGAAACTTTTGAATAGCATTATAAAGATCATGTTTATGGATTATATGATCAGGAAATTTCGCAGTCAAAAGTGATAAGATTTGCTTAGATCTCATATTTCCCTTAGTGACGTAAAACTCTATTGACTCTATGATCTCTGTAGATAGCTTCCTATACTTTGGGTCATATAACATGGCATCTGGCTGCATTTCATGGTTGTGCTCACCTACTATACTTGTAACAAGAATCACCGGAGATGACTTTGGTTTTGATAAATTCACATGCCATGTACATGAAACTTTTTTTGAATTTCTATTACATTGCTGAGAAAGATCAACAACTTTATTACTAATAGGCTCTCCAGAATGTGAGCATTCAAACGTACGTCGTCTAACTTCACCATCATTGTTGATTGTTACTCTTTTCCGATGTAATGAGAAACCAGTGGCTTTAGCATAACTGTTGAGACGTGCTTCAGCTAAGTCCCATGATGTATAAGAAATGCCTACTGAGAGTTGATCTAATTCTACAACATCCGCATTTCCCAATTTTACAACATCTGCATTTTCTGATTCTACATCTTCTGCATTCTCTAATTCTACATGTTCTGCATTTTCTAAGTCTACATCTTCCACATTCTCTAATTCCATATTTTCGAAATTGATCAAAGAGCTACTTACAGGCCCTAAAAAACTTTCACCTGAAGCTTCAAAAAAAAAAAAAAAAAAATTAAAAGCAGTCAAAGTTAATGTTTTGAGCATTCTATAAATAATGAATAATTTTATTGTTAATTCACCTTCTATAAGTTCCTTTCCAAATGCTTTTGTTAGAGAAAATACTGCAATAAAGGAAACATGATAGCACAAGTAATACACCAACACAAAAATAAAAAAATTATAAAGACAAAAAGCGCACAAAAAAAAAACTGCGAGAATGAAATAGAATACAAGCGTCACTGAAGAATTCAAAAAGAAAACGCGATGGCAAAAAAAGAGCGACCAAAAGAAAAGCGATGGTAAAAAGAAAGTGACAGCAAAAGGAAAGTGATGACAAAAGAAAAGTGACGGCAAAAGAATATGACAATAAATGAATCACGATAATAAATAGCACGACAGTAAAAGAAGCATGTTGGTAAAAGAGGCACGGCAAGGATAAAGAAACACGGCCACAAAAAAGTACGACAGAAAAAGAAGCACTACTAAAAGCATGACGGCAAAAAAAGTACTGCAGTAAAAAGTGTGATACAAAAGAAATATGGTTGCAAAATAGTATATAATAGCGAAAAAAGTGTACTAGATCAGTATTTGTAAAGGTAAATTTTAAGTTGTGTAAAGTTCTATTCTAACGAATTTTAATTAACAGTTAAGTGAAATTCTACATACGTACTGTATGTATATATGATGCGAAATTATTTAATTAGTATGTGTAACTATAGTGATGATCACCATGGGTTATTTTAATAATATTTCTTTTAAAAATTTTAATATATTATAAACTTGATTTTTTATTAAGTAAACTTGTTTATATTTCTAAATAAATTTGTTTAATATAAAAAGTTATATATATTTTAAAATTTTTAGAATTTTTCAAAATTTTTAGAATTTTTTAAAAAATAT